TCTGTAATAAAGCAGTTGCCATACATTTTTAATCTTAATTTAAATTTCATGAACAGCTCATGGCAGCCGTTTCTTCTTATTGTGGCTGAGGTCCTTAGTGATCTGGAGGTTAGTATCATTATTATGGTGATGTCTTTAAATAACTTTTCTTTATCCAACCAAAACCTGAGGTCCTTAGTGATCTGGAGATTAGTATCATTATTATGGTGATGTCTTTAAATAACTTTTCTTTATCCAACCAAAACCTCAAACCCAAAGAATTTGTGGTTACAATGATATAAAATTGAGAAAAGCATCAAATCCTCACTTTTTCAGAAGCTGGAATCAGCGAATGTTAAGTGTTAGTGTTGATTAATTTCCAACTAATGTTTTCAGCCCTTATTATTATTGGTCTCAGTTTAGTTTACCTCAAACCAGCCCTACATTCAGTATGGCTTACAATGCAGTGCAAGAAAATCACTCTCCATATTCCATTAACTGTGGAGACTAGAAGCTTTGATCCAACCTGATCTGTTTTCAGCTTAAAGGCTGGCAGCGGACCCAAGATTTCCTTTACTGCAATCGCAGTTTCCTCCTCTGATGTTCTAGTTCATTAAGGTTGCCTCCCCATTTTGCTTGTCTTGTCTCCCCACTTCCAAACAGGCGGAGAGAGTTTGGGCGTCCCTAGAACTATGAGCCGGATGCTCCCCATTAAACTTGGCATAACGTGTGGAAGCACCTGAAAATGCTATTAGAGACAGAAAAACAATTTCTGACGAAGGCAGCTTGTAAGTGAAAGCCATAGTCACAACTCTAACTTTCAGAAACAAACATCTACAGCTTTAACCTGTAGATGTTTGTTTCTGAAAGTTAGAGTTGGTAAAAAACATGGTAGCGGACCCTGGTCTGGAGCTCATTCTTATCATATACCATTGATTCAAACACAAAGAGAAGGAGTAGGAGAAGCTTTACTAAAAGTAATAACAAAAGCACTGCATTTTTGCCTCTGTATTGCTTGTTGTGGTTAATAATCCTCTGGAATATTAGATACACTTTAGGAGAGGAAGTTCTCATATTTACAAGTTCCTAAAATAGACCCATCACCCAGCACTCTCAGTATATCAGTGTCCTGTCCAAAGTGGGGGCCCCGCAGAAGTTTCCCACACGTGTCACAGGCCAATGTCATGACAAGAGAGAGAGGGAGAGAGGAAGAGGGTCAGGGAATGGGAAGGCGGCAAGATTAGCTTCAAGGTGGGGCAAAGAAAATAATGAGTAAGAAAAATAAAATCTTACCGACTCATGTTAGGAAGAGGTAAGGCGAGGGGACCTGGGGAACGGGAAAAGGGGCACAGATGGGCGGAAGCACTCAGCAGTGTAAAAGTGTTAAAAGGTGAACCGAGTGTCTGTTAAATTCACCGCGGTGTTTCCTCCCTGCAAATCAAATGCGAGGGTTATGTAATGGGGTGTTTATGGCGCCCACAGTCTTTCATGTCTGAAGAATTTCAGCGCTGAAAGCCCTACCTGTTGCTGGGCCTATAGTTGTTTACCTGTTTCAACATTTTAGCTACATACTGTACATTGTAACATTTTAAAGCGTTCTAGACTTGAGATCAGCTTACAGAGTTCCCGTTGGCCCATGCCCTTCCGTGACAGTTGTCTTTGATGTCTGGTATGCGGTTCGTCTATGGCGTGAGCCGCCAGATAGCGGCATGGCGTCTAGTGTCCAATCCAACACATTCCAAGTTTGCTAGGTTCTGACAGCACAGGAATTATCAGTTACATTTGATGTCACTTACTGGCAAACCCCTCATCAAAGACCTTAGATTAAAGATGCATATTTTTGAGTGGACGCAGGACTTAACATGGCACGATTCAGACCTGTGTGATTTGCTGCTCAAGTTCATCAACCTCATCAATCATCTGTCTCCTCTTTGTACAAAATTATATTTCCTGTCCTTTTACTTCTATTTGATAAAATATATAATTGTGTTTATTTTGTTGGACTCCAACTTAACTGAGTCAGCCAAAACAAGCCGATATGAATCAAAGGAAACCAGAGGGACCCTGGCCTTTTGCTGCTGATCTGCTTCCCATTGTACATCATTTATTTGTCTTATTCATAGTCTGGAGAATAAGACAGGAACCCAGCACATTTCCTCCCTCCGTCCCGTCATTTTCTGAAAATGTCATCAATTTGAGCATCAATCTTTACATTAGTGGAAGTAATAGTTGTCAGATAAATGAAGGGAAGCCATTTTTGTTTGACCTGAATCCTTCAGAAAAGAAGTACACACTGTCTTACATTTATTCATTTAGCTGACGCTTTTATCCAAAGCAACTTATAACTGTTATTTATATCAGAGGTTGCACGTCTTGCTCAGGGACATCACCATCACCACCCAATCTTGTTTTCCTTTGCAAAGGACTGAGATTTGATAGACTCATACAGATCTGTTATACTGCCCTTCTCACTCTCATTCGGCCTGCATTCGGGTCGTGGTCAGTGATCCTGACGTGATACCTCAGGTAGCGCAAAAGACAGAAGCCTCTGTGTGCTTAGTGATGGGCATCCGTCCAGAACAGGGTGGTACACACCTCAGCTTCAAGCTGCTCCATGGGAACCTGGGATGGATGGCAGCTGTTTCCCGGGAGATCTAGACTAACAGGACCTGCTCTCCAATTGACTACTTCCACCTGAGTCAGCAGCGAGCATGCTTCAGCTCAAGACCCTTAGCACAGAAACAGCTGTATGTCTTTGACTTGCAACTTTTTTCTAAAATAGTTGTGGAAGGAAGATGCGTAAAGGTGAAAGGACAGCGGCTAAGGACAAGAACTCTGGAAAGGAAATGACCCTGGCACTTGCGATACAATGCTGGCATGACTGTAGAGGTAAGCTGACAGGTAAATTGGAAAAATGCTTAAAAAAGAAGTGTTGAAATGACTCTTTTGCTGAAGACAGGTGCAAGACTTTATCTGAGTCCGTGCATGATAGATCTTTGGAAGAAAAACTAGCAAGTCCTGAACATGTGAGTGACATTATTTCAGCTTATTAAACCCCAGCATGACTTCAGTCAAAGGGCATGAGTTTTGGCGTGCTACATGAAGTGAGGCAACGCTGCTAGTCTTCATTAAAACATAAGCAAAAAGGGCTGTGGGCCTTGGAATCGCCCTTGACACAAAAAGCATGTTATTACCTAACCTGCGGTACACTGATGCCAGTGGCTTGAATGTCTTTTATGACAGCTGACTCATGCACCCAGAGCTCTCGAAGGAGAGGCCTGACTTATGTCCCCCACAGTGTCAATTATATGTCCTTCATGGTGATGCACAGTCCAGTGGAGAACAAAAACTGCTTTGTGTTACTGCTTGTAACTCACAAGTTCATTTGGTTTTGACATGGGGATCTGTTTTTTGGAGGTGAGCCGCGGTTGCAGTAGAGAGACTGTGACGATGTCATGAAAATAATAAGCATCAGTCAATAGCCATGACGGGAAACCTAAAGGAAACAATCAGTGGATGCTCAGACGCCAATGAATTCTGCATTGACAAGAGCAACAAAGTAACTTCTGTGACCTTTGACATGTGCAGACCAGTACTGTTTGTCTGATTTTTCTGCCTTTTATGGGAAATTTGTAGCTGGACAGCGTGTGTGTCACTCATAACCTCCAGGGAGGGGCAGAAAAGGGGCAACCAGCGGATAAGCATTTGACAGAAAAGCCCATGTAGCAGTAAGTTACCCTACATGCAGCCCAGGTCTGTCCTACTGTCTCTGGCTACCAACTGCAGAGGAATGGAAAGAGGTTTGGAAGGAAATATGCTATTAAGTAATATAGTACCTGGAGCTCTCTGCTATGCTTATACGCTTTCCTTTGGGACTGTGAGAAAAAATGAGCGAACGCTAATGGTCACTGTGTAGTATGTCAGCTGCTGGCTGTTGTTCCTGAACTTCTTTCACTTTGTGGAAACACTGGAATCTTTTTCGGAACCGAGAGTTTGTCCAGGCTTGTTGTTGAAAGTGGGCTTTGTCTTTTTCGCATTACTGAGTGACTGCACAGGGTAATAATAGCAAAAGTATTTTGTGTCATAACCCCAGGGCCTTTACTGGGTCACTGATCCCCTCACGGTCAAGGTCTACATCACCATGGACACTGGTTGTATGTGTTGAGGTCATTTGGTTACTGCTAGCAACATGTTAATCAGTTAATATTTGATTTTGGAAATGTCTTGTTTATATATTTTTTTCTTTTTATTGTGTGCGATAGTTATTCCATGATGCAATTTGAGGTTTACAGAGGAAATACCATGCAAAAAATGATGTTGTTCATTATGAGTGTTTACTGCTTCTTAATTGCTTCTGTGTGTCTAGCAGTGTGCACATTTTTAAAAAGCACTTTTCACCCTTACACAATAATATTGTACAGTAAAAGACTGCAAACTCAGTTCCACTTCTCAGGAACATTAACTTTAATAAACTGCAGCTCAGTGAGAAATTACATTATATAATCGACACATGAAAGGGGAGCAACATAAAGAAATTGATTAAAAAGTTAAAATGGTTGTAGCTGAAAAGCCCCGAACCGGTCTGCTTAGCAGTTCCCCCAAACCACTCGGGTTTCTTTAATGAGATCTTGGATTCTTTTCTCCTTAATATTTGAGAGTGAAGCAATTTAGAGGTTAGAATTTGGGAGCCTGAAGGCAAATTCTGACACGCCTTAAATTGCTTAGGAAGCGATTTCCTTTTTGAACTGTGTCATAAATTCTAATGATGTTAACAGGTTTAATTGGGATCTTCTTAAGACGTCTTAACTATAGGTTTGTTGTTTAATATATACCACAAGAATTCACTGCATTCCCCCCTGTACGCCTGGCAGAATTAATGTGAATTTGGCAAAACAGTTTTTACAACTGTGGTGTGGCAGTGAAATGCTGTGGGTCAAACAACATCCATCTCTTTTTATAATATCCCACAAAAACACACATTTATACTGTTATGCACACACCAACATAAAACGCCTTCCATATTTACACACAACGCTCTTTATTTAGCATAATATACCTCTCTCTTTACAGGGCTCACTTTTATTTTTTTCCGTTTAAAAATATATAGCTTTACCTTGTAAATCTGAATGCTCGACCAGAAGGTCTATTTCTGGAGTGTGCCTGACAGGCCGTCTTAAGCGAGCCTACTGCTGTTTATGTGGAGTCATGTTAAAGATGACAAAGACCTTGACATGTACACCCGTAAGACCTTCCTGCTCCTTATTAGTCCTCTGACAACTGTACAACTCAAGGAATTTTCCACTACATCAAGCATGCTACACTGTTGAAAAAGGTGAAAGGAAAAAGGAACAAATGAAGACTGAATTCTTGTGTGGAACAATGTTTGTCCTTTTGGATCACAGTGATGGAGACTGATTGCTCCATCTTGTAAAACAACAAAAAAGATTGAGAAATGACTGATTATGCAATAGTGACTACCTGAACCAAGATGTACTTGCATCTGAAGCCACCATGCAAAGGGCTAGAAGAAGTTGGCTGTGTTGTTCTGGGTCAAGAGTATTTCCTGCGTCTCCTTCGGTGGTGCATCCGCTCCTCATCTCAGAGAACACCAAGACAATAGAACAGATGGAGGAAGAACACTGTCCGTGCATCTGGTTAAATGCATTGAAAGGCCATTTTTAGCATGTCTCCCACTGACAGAGGCCTAAAACAACATTTTGGTGGAGCCGTGCCACTGTTTCATGTTCCACGACCACAAACTAAAAATTGTATTCTTTATAACAAAGTGCAATGTTGATTTATTGATAGTTTGGGATACTTTTAAATGCTCGAGAACAGCAGTAAAGCCATTCAACCAAACATTTCTTCAATGCAACCCTCTGACTGTTGTCGTTGTGTTAGAGTAGCAGGGGTCATTTAATGTCACATGTTACATGATGTCGTGATTTAGACTCCGTCAATGGAAAATGAACCAGGAAATTCCTCATATTAAACTCAGTATCTCTGTTCATTACAATTACCATCATTAACTTTACTATGGGCGTGTGGACTTGTCCACCTATCTGTCAACAGACAAATAAAACATGAAGGAAACTAATTAGACAGTTGCCTGACCTGGAAATAGAACCACATGCCTGGCTTTAGAGCAAGCAACGCTTTATTGTGTAATCTAACATTCTGTACAATAACTCATAAATCATGAGGCTGCTGCAGCCAGTCACGTATGGCTTTCAGATGAATCTTGACAGCCTGCCTACCAACAGGAATGGTAGAAAGTGATTTCTCTTTGTGCTAGAGGCGAGTCGTAAAACAAAATATGAATTGGGGATGTCACAACTTATTCTTGAAGTGCGTCGAGACCAGTCTATGGTCAGGAAACAGACTATTGTGATCTGTGATCTTCACTTGTGCTTAAGCTTTTTGGGTGTAAATATAATTAATTATATTAATGTATACTGTCTGCTACGTAGCAGAAGAGAATTACAAACTCAATTTTACTCAACAACCTGTTGTATTGTGACAAATATATCAAACAGAAAGTTCATTAATGACCTTGGAAACAATGTTTTGCTACAAAAAACTCAATTTCCACCTACTAGCTTTTTCCGGACCTTGAAACCGCATGCCACAGCCTTCCTCGATGGAGTTTGCTCAGTTGTCATGGAGAAACAGTAGCTCAGCTGCTCAGTACAACAGCCTCCGTTTACTGAGGAAGACCATAAAGTGCGGTTGAAAGATCAAGAAAAAGGTGATGGTGAGATGAGTTTTTTGTAAGAAAACAAAGTTGTTTCTTTCCTTATGTATAGTATTATAGCATGTTGTGAAATGCTAAACGGTTAAAATGTAGAAGAGGTATTGACATATACTGCAGTGGTGAATCATGTTCTCTCTGGGTTTTAACCCGACTAATGGCCACTGAAGGCTGTAAAAGTTAAAACGATTGACTATTGAAAGTATTTAAAAATGTCTTCTGAAAACAACCCAGTGCACTGAAAGAAATGATTATGGAGTGAACATGAGTAAAAGCTTATACACCAATTGTCAATTTACTGCATTACTGTGCAGTGTCCATACCAGAGGCAGGGCCTTTCCCCCCTACTTGCCAGTGATTCACTTCATAGTGTTGTTTTTAATTTACTGAAATCTGAAATTGCGGAAGTTAAACCAAGCATGCAGGCATTTTGTCTGCTCAAGACTGCCACAGCATTCAATCTCATGATCTAAGGATTTTGGAAATTAGAACAATCTGTGAGGGCACCAAGCACATGGTAAGAACTCCCAAAATGGCTCCAATTAAAGGCAAATGCTGCACTGTTGCTTTGATAAAAAAAAACAAAAAACATTTTCAACTCAGTATGTTTCATGGTGTACGTGAGGGACTTACGATACAATGGCTTTGGCAACAGTTGAAATACTGCATTTTTGAAAAGCAGGTGCTTGACTCCAATGGCCTGTTAAGAGTCGACCTAATGAAAAGACAGGAGCACGTATTGAAAGCAGATGTGAGTGTACTGTAGTAGAAAACAGCGCTCAAGCAAAAAGAGGTGACCAGAAAAACATTGTATGAATGTGGCTCATTGTGTTGGCCCATGTGTGTTTGATGGAGATGGTTGTGTTCGCGTTGAAGGTGGGTATGACTCACTTCATCCATTAGATCAGTGGCTGGGGTTTGGACAGCCGCCCTCCCCTGATACTGAGACCACCGCATACAAACCTTCCCAAACAGCCATCTGCTCAGCATTTCTACACTGCCTTTGAATCTTTAAAGAGAATTAAAATACTGCAAATGTAACACTTTGCTGTCCAAGGACCAGTCACTACGCTTCTCTGCATGGCAGCAGTCACACTGCTGTGAGCCAAGTTTCCTTGAGCAAACGAGGCATGTCTGCCCTCCTTCTGTAGAAATAACTTTATTCGCTGTAGCGGCCCTTGTGAGATTCGCTGCTTTATACAGATGCTTTATACCCAAAAGGGGGACAGTATGCATTATGATCCATATTAAGGCAAAGCAATCTCGTTTGCGGCCAATTAAAGCAAAATAAATGCAGCTCACTGTGGTACTGTATGTCCTTCACCTAGTTTTGTTTGTGTAAATCACAACTCTGGACCAATCATTTTCACACATCACACCAACTAATCACACTAAAATCTCAAAAGCTCGCCAGAATGTATGGCTCTCCACTGCAGTGGGAAGCTGTCGAGTCCAGATTTGAAATAAAGTTGAAGTTATGTCTTAATTCTGTTTGTACACGAGTGGTTGAACCAGGAATGGAGGCGCTTTCTCAGTTGGTCTCCACATCAACTTCCAGAGGCATCTTTGCGTCTGTCAGAGCAATTAGACTGACATATCTGTGTTAACAGTGTCCGGGGGTCAGGTGGCTTAGGGTTATGCCAGGTTGGAATTAAGGCTTTTGCTGAGTATGATGAAGACCACTGACACGCTCTCTAAACTAATGCGTTTTATTTGACATTCCACAGTCCGCAGACTGTCTGAATGTACTGAGTGAGTTCTCACTGCATATCAGAGTGGTATATACAGTGCATCGGTTATGATTTATGATTTGAGTTCAGACCCAGAAGCTGACTTGGACCAAGATGGTGAAATTACAATAAAGATAGTTTATTGTAACCAGGGTACGGGATGATGTGGAGGCAGGCAGGGTGAAATCCCGAGGCAGAAAGCAAAACAGGATTACTCAGAGATAACATGACAACAACAGGGAAATACAGAAGCAAGGTTAAACACTAGGTTTTGGCCTGTATCTTACCACAGTGGCTGACAGAACGATCTGGCAATGAATCACTGGAAATCTGGGGTTGAAATACAGCCAGGCAGATCAGCTGATGAGGAACAGGTGTGTGTCATTGGCTGGGATGATATCAAAGGTGCAGCTCGTCTTAAAGAACCCCTAAAACTTAATACTATTGGTCAATACTACTTGATAAACATATGAAGCTACAAGCACTTCAGAACCATCACCTCTAAAGCTCAATAGTTAATTAACATGTTATATCTTGTTGATTTAATCACTAGAGTCTGGCCATCACCATGTGATTCCCAGTTATCTGCGCCTTCCAAAACCGTTCAACGTTGAAAAATAAATCACTTTTATGATGTGACAACTCAGTGGTTAGGGTTTAGGCACAAAGACGGCCTGGTTGGGTTCAGGGAAACATTGTGGTTTGGGTGAAAATGACTTAGTTAAGGTTAGGGAAGCTTCATCATCATGGTGACAATAATAAACACATGGTCAAGGTTAGGGAACGATTGTGGTCATACTTTTCCCCGCGGTAACGTCTGATGTTTTGTTGACTTTGTCGCTCTATAATAACGCCACTTGACTTCCTCTTGTGCTCCAGTCATAATTGCTAGAGCCACTGGAGAGCTTTATCACTTAAACATAAACACATGTTGTTTTAGGGCACTTACTGAAACAACTGATGCTGTTGTTCTACTTCGGGGGGGAGAGTCTCAAATAAGCTTTTTTTCCCCAGATGACAAACTATTCCTTTAACATTTCTCTGCACTGTTGAATATTTCTGCAGACATCCAACAGTGTCTTAAACGAGTGTGCTAAAAATGATCCTGAAATGATCCTTTGGAATAAATTCAGCCCAGCAATCATTATGCTTTTATTAACACCCCCATAGTCTGCGTACAGGCAGTATAGCAAACATCAGGGGAAGCAGCACTTGTTACTGCAGCTCTGCTGTGTTTACAGGGAAAGCTTGATTTCAGACTTCATCGCAGCCTCATATTCACTTCCTTTGTTAATCCCCTTTTGCTGTAGCAGATCTTTCTTTCTAAGGGCGTGGGGGGAATTTCACTTCTGTGTCGTTTCACCCCAAACACCATTCACCCAAGGCTCATGTAAGGAGCCACCATATCCTGCTAAAACAAACAGCATTGAGGAGGTAGAAACAAATGCTTTTGTCTTTGAGTTATATTTAGTTCCAGCCTGCCTTCACCAAAACGCCATCTCTCACGAGGCTTGTTTGCCCTCAAGCTGAATGAGCTCATATATGACCATGGTGGCAGCTCAGAAGCCCTATTTCCTCTGTATGTGATATGGATCACATCAGTATAGTCAACCTGCGTACATGAAGCAGAAATGAAACCCCTAGTTATATGCACACATCTGCATTTTTTTTTTCTTTTCCGGCAGGCCTTATTTAGAATATTTGACACACAGCTGTTGTAGCGCCTCAGGCCCCTCTAATTCTCCACTATGGGAGATCCACTGTCCCGGCACTCCCTTCACTCATGCTCTCAGTCCTGCAAACCCTGCAGGCTGGGGCTCCTCAGAGAGCGCTGTGGTCCAGAAGACAGGAAACAGCTTGAGAGTAGCCCAGCAGTCAAGGCTGTGGGAGGGCAGAGGATAGGGTGGGGAAAAAGGGGATTTCCTCATATGGCGCTTGTACTTTTATCAAACGTGTGCAGTACTTATATGTTTGTCTGACATATGAATAAAGGTTGATGACCTCCCAAAGATGGCTCTGTGATTTAAAACTCCTACACCAAGGGTCAATAATCTTGCAAATCTCTTTTCTTTGTATTCAGATCAGTTTGAACTCTTCAGGATGACACTCAAAAGCAAAAGATGTTAGTACCAACCACAATCAGTGATCTTGTAATCACTGATCGCGGCTGTCAACGTTTGAACCCTGCTGTCTGCCTGACCCCTCTGTATGCAAATGCAGGAACAAACTGCCTTGCTTCCTTTAGATTACACATGATGTGTGTCTTATCAGGCTACAGGCTACACACTCATTATGCTTTATCCCAGGCTTTGAGTGAGTAATTAAATGAATTATTCAGAAGCTCTGTGATGCTCTTGGGGGGGGGGGATCTCTGCTTACTGTGTCTTTAAAGTCGTGCAGAGGGGAGCCTACACTAAAGAAAGGAGGGGGCTGCTGTGCGCCAGTTGGAGGTGTCTGCCTGTCGCAGCGGCTTGGGGTTGACATTAAGAAGAGCGTGTCCATGCTTCAGCTGGGAGATACGGCGCAATTTGGATGCACAGATACTGAGCTGGTTCCAGGCAGATCCGCATCAGACCGAGGACACATGGATGGACAGAGAAATATTGCATTCGGAATTAACTTGTCAGCCGGTGCGAGGAATCTCTCGATATAATGGGGAATACGACACCTAAACCTTTAATAGGTGAGACTTCTTATTAATTAATGTGTCATTCACGAGGCTTGCGGGGAGCGGTGTCTGTGTGGAACAGCTTGATAGCCAGAGATACACATGGCTAGTCGAATTCATCTAGTTGTGCTCGCCCTGCGTCCAGACGCGCTTCCCATCACGGGGGAACTGAGCGTGATTCCCAGGGAGCGAGTCCAAACAAGCGCTCCTGCTGCCGCGTTTCTCCCAAATGCACTTTTTTTACCCATCATTTGTAGAATATATTCAGTGATGTAGCCTTAAATGAAAAGCAACACAGTATGCACTGTAGACCAGCATCAACAAAAGGCATTAATATTATCAGAAAGGCTCCTTTGTCCTAATAAACACACCAGTTTGATGTTTTAGCAGTAAAGACTACTCTTGAATGTAGTAATACGTTAAGCAGGTTGACCACCATTGCGTCCCTAATTGTAACATACAAACAACCAATTTCTAAATGACTTGTGCATTTATTGGCTTCTCAGTGTCTGATTTTTGAGTGTCACCATTCGGTTGGTGCACAATCACAGTTTTTCTTGCTGCAGGTTTTGTGTCACTGTACTATATATTACAGTGTCTAAATCTGCCTTTTATTTCAGACAGAATTTTTTATTTCTTGCCTGTTTTTTTTTTTTTTGCCTCTGTACAATGTTGTTTCATACATAGATGGAGTACTTTATTAATCCCCAGTAGGAAGTGTTAAAGAGGCTAAGTCACACATGAATCACAAAACAAACAACATGAGGACACATAAAAGCTGATAAGAAAATGCAATAAGAAAAACATAAATAACTACAATCCTAACTAGAAATTGAACAAACACTAGCAGCACCATACGCTATCAAACATTGCTTGGTAATATTCTGTAGTTATCCCAAAGTAAAAGCAGTCTTATATATAAAGTACAATCTCAAACGTGTGAATTAGCCCCAGGTTTAAATCTGATGTTATGAGTTCTCAGATTATCACTTTGTGATGACACAAAGCATTTTACTTGATCATCAGTTCCCCATATCACTTTGATTTAATGTCTGCCACACTCCCACGCCCCCAACAGACCCACTCGGAGGCTAAACGATGCGGTTACTGCCACCAGAGCCAGCTGACGTAGGGTTTGGCCTGAGAACAGTTAGTCACAGAGGAGCAGGAGCGGCTTTGGTCCTATTGCTTGCACTGTATGGTTTCAATTAACATGTAAATTAACAGAATATCTGCATTTGCTGGGTTAATATTAGTTTTGGTGCACAATATATAAGAGAGCTGGTTTGTTTAGGTTTATTTCTCAATGTTTATTGTGCAATGAGTCATTGTGCAGGTCTACGTGTGATAGAGACATCAAAATACCAGCTGTGTTTTTACCAGCAAATGTATAGACTATATATGTAAGATGTAACAGACCGACACTGAAATCCCATTAAAATCCACAGAGGCTCAAGTCTTGCTCAGTGAAGGAGTTACAGTATGATGAACACATACAGCCTAGAGATATGTAAGAATAAAGAGCCTGATCATCTTGTGGCCAAAGATAACTCTGACGAATGCACATAATCAGTTTTACATTTCAAAAAGCTTCCCTTGGCACAGCAGTGTGTCTTGTGCAGTCTTATGATTGCATGTTATTTGTGCTTTTTCTTTCATTAGGATTAAGGTTAGGTGGACAACAGGGAGACACTATTCCGACTGTTTCTCTCTAAAAGTAACTGAACCACATGTGGTGGCAGAAATATACTGCAGGGCCTATATGAGACTTGTGGCTGAGCGTTGCATCGTAACGTTTCTGAACCGCTGCCTGAACTGGTCTCTTCCTCGTGCCCTCTCCCACTGTCATTTCCCTCTCATCAGTTTCCAGTCCATAATTC